CCAACTGAATGCAAACATATCTTTACCTGTGAAACAAGTTTTGTCATTACTTAAATGCTTCCGAAAATATTTAAAAAAATCTGCATGAGCAAAACCAGCCGATTGCGGCTTCAAATGAACCTCTAATGTTGCTTTTGGTTACAGAATGAGCAGATAAAATACTCAGAATTCCGGACACCATGTATAGTAAGAGAGCTATAAGTCAAATCTATTGATTCCTCACATTCTATCCTTATCTTGAAATTAGCTTTGATTTGAGACTTGAAAAAAAGTTTTTCAACACAAAACTTATGGTTATAAAACATGGAATGGGAAGCTTTGGCCAGTAAGTTTTCTCATTTAAAGAATTCCGCTTGGAAAAACAAAATCTATTGTTGGTGGCTCTTTGGAAGTGGGTTCTTTTAGTACTTTCCTCAATTTCGTAAAGGGTTTTCTTGTGATTTCTTATGTTTATATGAGTAAAGTTGCGGAAATGATTCTGGAGCGGATGAGAAACCTTCCAGATAACTGTTTTAGGTACGACGACTGATTTGCATTTTATTCTGAGCCAATCACATTTTTGTGCGTTCTTTATACACTTTATTGTATCCTTAGTTTTATCACATTTTGTTCTTTTACCATTACTTATATCGAGCGACACATTTTCTCTGATTATGAAACATTTTATTGCAATTTAAATTATGGCTATGGTCGCTTTGTCTATCGGCATAAAAACCAGTTTCTTCTGTTGTTGCTTCATAAATGCCGGTACCCAATATGTTCAATCGCTTTTCGTGTATTGTACATGTTTGTCCTTTTGATTAGTGCTTTAATTTTTGGATAGCGGATCGTTTTAGGTGCAGAGAATTTGTGAAAACATCGAAGAATATTAACCGAGGAAGATTCGAATTGGGGAACGAATTTGTCTCGTAAAAAACGAATTCAGCAATTCTGCATCAATGCATCTTATCGCATCTGTAAGTGACAGTCTTCGGGTTAACATTACATAAACTTGTGTTACGTATTAAAAAATCAGCAAGAGAATAAATGAAACTAAAAAGCAAATGCAAAACAGGAGCGATTTTACAGATGGAAGCTATAAAAATAACAAAATGAGTGAGGAAATTCGAGCAGTTTTGACTCCGAAATCGAAATTTGAATATGAGACATTTAGATTCAAGATTATGACAACATTTCGCACAAAAATTCAAACACGACGTTGCTTTTAACGAAGTTTCTCAAGCCCCATTTGAGCCTGAGAACTCGTTTTCGCATCGTTCGATAGAGAATTGAAAAGTCGATTCAGTCATAACAACATGAGGGATTAAATTCGAGCAGTTTCGTCTCAGAAAGCAAAATTTGAATATCAGACACTGCGGTGCAAGATTATGCGAAAATTTCGTGTTTTTCAATTTTAGATTTGCATGTTTCTTTTGAGCTGTAAAATCGACTCAACATGACACTGCTTTTTTGAAGTTCCTCAAGCCCCTTTTGGGCCACAGAGTTGGTTTGGAATAGTTTGATAGAGAATTGAAAACTCGATTCAGACATAACAACTTGAGTGCGGAAATTCGAGTAGTTTTGTCTGAGAGAAAGAAATTTGAATATATTGAGAAGCGGCGGATCGAGCTTCCAAGTAGAAATTGTAGTAGAAATTCAGTCTTTTATTATCTATGAAATTAGAAAAATTATCGTTAGTCGACGCAACTCCGCCCTTGGATCAGATGTGCAGTTGCGCCCAGATCATTTCGCACCTTTACATGCACTTTTTCCGAAAAGTTAATTAGCCTGTACATAATAAACAACTCGCCAGGAATATTGTTGCAAGTTTTGAAGAGTATCCTGAAAAACTAGCCACAAATACGATGTACGCTGTGACTATGAATTTCTGCCCTGTATATATTAATGCCAATCTCATGAGGTGATCAAGCCAGCATTACAAGCGTGATACACGTACAACACATAGAGCAGTTTACACCTAGATATCAACTATGACACTTCCAGCGAATTTATCGATGTAGAAATCAAGAATTCCCAGAGCCACCACGGTCATATATCAAAGTTAAATGTGATGTAGATAAAACTTATTTAAATAATATTACTGTTATCGTTAAACTTTAGGAAATAGTCTTGAACGTGCTGATTTTCTGATGTCTGCAAAGTTTGAGATTTATGTTTCTAACGGGACGGACATAATATACCAGGCCATATGTGGCGATCTTGATAGGCCCAGACTGTGGAATATAGGCCGCGAAATCTAACAAATGCGGAATGCACTTTTGATCCACATCATTCGTCATCATAATTAACTGGACTGGGCAAGAAGTGTCTGTGAAGATTGCCTTGTCAGACGTCTAACGCCAGCAAGCTTGAGTAGTTATCCATCAGAACGATTCAGTCGATTATTGATGGTAAATTATTTAACCATCAGCATTCAATGAACTAGAAAATACACACATTCCGTGCAAGTGTATGCAAATTTTATCCTGGCGGCTTGACTGAAGAATTCATTGAAGACAGGAAAATAGTAAAAATCGAATGAGGCAGGAAACTAAGCAATTGGTTCAGCCACAACTGAAGCAAAATTAATTGAAGATCATCAGAGATCCGGATTTCGAAATATTTTTTAAAGTTCCCTGATTTATCCTCTGCACAGATAACCATTGATTCAGACTTTGACGACTTGCCAACACATCAATTGGTAACAACTTGTTTTCTAGGAACATTCTGTAAATGCGACTAGTTCCAAGCCTAGCAAGGCATGCTTCCGTTGATGCGCAAACGGCTATGAAAAAAGATCAAATCTCTTCAACGTTTGCCTTAAACCAGCACTAAAACACCATAAACTCCCATCTTAATGGTAATTCGCTCCACATAGGCAATGTTCCGCTGGAGGCCTGGAGTGCCAAAGACTCGGGTTCGGCATATCAAATACGATAACGGGGCTCAATCTACTACATCACACATTACCCGACACAATAGTCACATTAAAGAATTTTTTTACCGTTCGTCCTATTGCTTTCGAGTTGGGCTACATGCCGATCTGAAAGTTTAATTCGGTTTTAAAGACAACGTGCCCTGGGAAGGAAAAGAGGCGCATTGTGTTTTCCTCCGGAGTCTTATTCTTCTTGGTTTAGACGCTATTTCGCTGAACTTGGCTCGAATAAATAACAGGAACAATTAAATTCAGTAGCAGTGTAATGCGAGCCTCATTACTATACGACATTCTACGCAAATGTGAATTTAATAGTCTGTCTGGTAAATAATTTCTTCTTATTTTTCAACTGTTTAAAATGTATTCTTTGCAATATCTTCATTAACTGTTGAGATTTAGAGCGGCTTATCACGCCCTGAGAATTTGATGCCTGTTATTATTATTATTATTAACAGAAAATGTATGTGTTTTATTATCAGCTGCATCCATTTGAAGGCGCCGAATAAGGATATGAGAAGCTGTAGCATGATAAGGAAACTGATGGAAAAATGGTGAAATTGTGCTAAATTCATAAAAAATTTCCCGAATAATTTTCAACTTTAAATTTATCCTGAGTGCTGAGCGATCAAAGACAAATAAGTTAATAAGGTAAGTAAAAAGCTGCAAGTAAAACCGAAATTAATTAAGGCGAAATTCCCAAATTGTGCCAAAAAGAAGAAAAGTTTAAATCGAAGTCGATAGAAATAATAGAAAATGCTCTATGCGTCTTTTAAGGAATTGCATTAGAGGCTTTCTTATGAGAACATTGTTAAAGAAATCAAATATTGTCCATTTAAAACATGTGCTTGCCTATTAGAGTGTTTTACATAAAACGCACAGTTTGTCTAATAAATATGTCAAAAGTCATCCAAAAGATACGAATAACAGAGGAAAAATTAAGCTGAGAATTGTCAATTACCTTTAGCGAGCTTTAGTCGCCTAAATTATATAAAGATGTTGTGAAAGAAGATGTAGAATTAGAAGCGAATTTTATTTATTGTGAAAGAATCAGTTTCAGTCAACAGCTTAGGAAGTAAAACGCTTTGAATTACTGGAACGCTTCGACTATATTTTAGCAATTATTAGTAATCTGTAATAGCAGAAAGTCCTATTAGACTTTAGCGTGTTAATTTTTTTAACATATCAATTAAACCAAGAGAAAATTGGGTAAACCAGCAGGCATATAACAACGGCAAACTCCACAACAATAAACAAGTGACAGAAAAAGTGTGAAAAGAATCAAAAGAAACGAAGTTATTTAAAATGAGCATATAATATAAAATAATTATGCCAATGCTTCAATTAATGCAAAGCTACTAAGTTATTTTCCAAGTAAAAAATGCATGCTCAAAAAACATCAATGCAGTTTTCAAAAAGATTAAATTTGTATTTAAAAAATATAGAAAAGGAGAAAAAATTCCCGCTTTTTGTTGGGAAACTGGCCAGTAAATCTGGCCCCAAAAATATTCCTGATTTTTGATAAATGGACTATTTTCAGGATTTGAAAAATAATTCGAATATAGAAAAGTTCAACTCAAGTAATCCATTGGGAGATATAAGTTAGTACATAAAAAATTTCTGTTATTTTTCAGGCAATAAATAATAATTAAACCGTTATTTATTTTATAAACTGAAAAACCCTGCAACGGTCTATATTGTAATTCATCCTCCCTTTCCTGCTAATCATATATAACGAAATACATAATAAATATGACAATATAACAAAAACTGTAAAAAAGAGGAAAAAGGAATTAAAATTCACTTTTAGAGACGAGGAAATTTCTAAGAAATAAATCCAGGCCATAATTAAGAGCATTTGCTCTTGTGTGATGGCAGAACTTAGTTAGCGGTCCTCAAAAGCAAACTCCCTAAAATCAGCAATCTTTTATCCCCGTCATAATTAGATCAACATCTGGATTATCGGGAATCCGCGCTCGAACAGAATTTACTTCGACAATAAAATCAGTAACCTGTTAAGGCCTTTATGGCTTTGGTGCAGGTCTTCTTTGATCAAAGAGGGGTCCTCCTGCACCGTTCTGTCGTCTGCTTCTGCCAGTAACATTTTCTTTAGGCGATTCATTCATCGTGCGCGCTTTTGGCCAGCCGGAACAAGAAGTGATAGCGGCAGATGCGTTTCCGTGATTCTGCGAAATAATAGCGCGATTTTAACAGTATTTTAGAATTTCAAAGTCAAATTTGATTTGCTAAATTTGAACGAGGTGGTGGTTTATGGTGCGCACAATTTTCGCCGTTTTTGCAAAATGAAGACTGAATTGCTGTTGGTGATTTCTTGGGTGTTTCTGGTAAGTATTTTTCAAAACAGTTAACATTGATTGAAGAAATTTTTGTGGAATTTTCCTTGATTAGTGGATTGAAATAAATTGCCAAACACTTAGTTGTTGGGTTCAAATGATGCCTTTTTAGAGACTAAATTGTTTTTATTTTGCTGCAATAACTTCCGATTTGGTTCGTCGTCGTCATTTACCGATCAATTTTCGCGCAGTTTTTTGCTTCTCTTATCAACTTGCGGTTCTTATTTTCAATAATTAACACTGGAGCCTTCGAAGGGGAGTAAATGGATGCAAAATATTGAGTTAGCTGGAGTTAATACGGACTTGTAGAGGAATTCCTTACGTTTGTCGGATGTCTTCTTCAGTGACAGGAAAAAGGACAAAATTTACAAAATTATCGATTAATTTCGCAAGATGCTTCCGGAAGACAATAATAAGGTTATTATGTGTTTCATGTCTCCCGAGGATCGAAACAAATCCATTTTGGCTAAATCAATTCGGTTTAGATCGACTGATGGATTTCTGATTAAATTCAGAAATGAATGCTATTCGATAGTATTCGATTAATTTAATTATTTTTCCGTATTATTTTTGTTCGTTCTTCATTCTTCATTTTGATGTAAGTCTTTTGAATTCTTGCATTTATGTCTGCTATATACGAGTTAAAATAAATAAAAATTCAAGATTAAAATTCATTTCATATCAAAAAATGCTGGAAAATTCTCCCAACTTGACGACTTACAATCCACTCATGTTTTCAAGAAGAGCAACAAAATGTAATAAAATTGAACATTTTGCTACGAAAAAGCTGAGAAGACAATCAGCCGTTTAAGTAAAGCCTGAAAGTAAATTCCAAATTGACTGCAATTCCGACCGTTAATAAGTTTTTTTTGTACTTTTATATATAAATGTACAAAATGTCTCTGGCCTGCCTTAATTCGCAACTTTTACATTCGTATAATTACAAGTGCGCAAACTAATAAGCATCTTTTAAAGCAGAAATTTAAAAAAAACTTGCAAGGCTTAATCAAAATTGGAAAGTGGCTATAATTTTTTACACTTAACTAATTAGTCTTTTTTTCAAAATACGGAATATCTGCTCTCCAGCTGTACTAATTTACTAATTTGAAAAAATTCTCACAAATAACGATAATAAGAAATGCATAATTTTTCTTTCATTTAGAAACTGAGACTTTGGTTATCAAATTCGAAAATGTCTGGGTCTGGATTACGCAGCTTATTGATGTACATGTAGCAATAACGAAACTATAAATAAT